GACAATGGTGAGCTGCCCAATGTGGGTGCAAGGCAGGAGCTGAAGCTCAGGTACTCTGGAAGAGCCGTGCACACTCTTAAGCTCTAAGCCACCTCACCAGTCCCTGTGGCTAACAGCCAGAAGGAAGCAAACAACATGTGTGGCGTGGTGGGATCTCAGGGTAGGGAGTCCCAGACAGGAAGACCGTGGGGTTTGCTGGCCAGCTGTGCGAGCCGCCTTCGTGGCATCCAGGCCGTGAGAAACCCTGACTCAAGGAAGAGCGGTGTAGAGGCAGACAGCTGCAGAGGAACAACCGAAGCTGTCCTCTGCCTCCACATGCATGCACATGTGGGTGGGCCTGTACACACATGCACCACCATAAACACACATGCACACATCCCAGACAGCCACGGAGTACAGCAGCCTGTACCCGTATCAGCGAATTCCTCGTATACTACATATGAGAATTGAAAACACTTGATAGATAACGGCTTCAATACTGTTTAACAACACAGCAACAAAAACAAGTGTTTTAATTTTATCATGCTGGGATTGTGACCATGAGAAGTACTTAGTAGTTTTCCTGTTCACTCCTAAGTCTCAAATTGCCCCTAAATCTGTCCACACACTACCAGAATATGCTGCCTGCCCCCGTTTTGTTTTTGTTGTGTTTAATTTTGTTTAGTGTGTGTGTGTGTGTGTGTGTGTGTGTGTGTGTCCCCTTAAATGGATGTTTGGGCGTGTTCATAGAGGACATCTAGTGTCCTCTGCCATTCTGTGCCGGTCCCTCTGAGGCAGGGCCTCTCCTTGGCCTCTTGCTTTCTCAGGTGGCTGGAAGATAGGCTCTCCTGTTGGAGCTGGGGTTACAGGTAAGTGCAGGATACCCCGTTGGTTATGTAGCTGCTGGTATTTAAACCAGCAGGCACTGCTGACTGCTGAGCCATCGCTCCAGCGTTCTGGTTCTGTTTTGATTCATAATCTCCTGTTTCTAGTGTGCTTGAGTTTCATTTCCTGGCAGTATAGCTATTCCTCTTGAGCCTTCTAAACGTATACTAGAGGAAATAATGGCTTTTACAAATTATTTTTTTACTTTTTGAGATAATATTACATATTCCCCTTCCCTCCTTCCAAAGCCTCCCATCTGCCTCTCCTTGCTCTTATTTCTGTTATGTGCGAAATTGAGTTAATCAAAGGGTATTTTTGACTTCCATTTACTTGACATTTTATTTGTTTTGTTTCTGATTGTTTATATGCATATTCTCTGTGCTTTTACAAATTGTACCCTGAAAAGTTCAAGTAGGATGTTACTAGGGCTTGAGTGAGTTTGTTAGAAGGGGTTAGAAGCTAGAATCAGAAAGAGGAAAGACTTCTAAGGTAAAGGAATACAGGTAGACTCATTTTCTTACTTAAGCTCTAGAAAGACATGTTTGTTGAAGAAGCAATACAAATATTTAAGATCTTATTTAAAGCTAATTGGTCTTAGAATTTGATAGGGATAATATCAAGTTCTGGATAGCTTTGTATTTAATGTCAGCAAGAATTTAGATAAGCCAGCACTCTGCTCTCTGTTAATTAATTAGCAGTAAAGTGACCCAGGCACTTCCCCAGCAGCAGGATCACGGAGCAGGGAGATGGACTGAAGTCAGTCTCACACCATGAAGGACTATGTTCAGGTGCCTGCAGCAGAGCTGGAGAAACCATATGAGTTTCCTTCTCCAGGGGAGTCATCCACGTGTCTTTACTTGAGTAGGTCCAGTGAGTTTTTCTTAAGCCTGTTTATAAATACAGTATTCTCTTATTTGAATATTTAGATCAGTTGCTTCTGTAATTTTTATTGCTACATCCTTGTTTGTTTTTTACCAAATATTGCCTTTTACATAACTGAGTGAATTGAAAATTTGGAGCTAATTTTCTATCTTTGTGCATGCTCTCATCTATATACATAGTTGAAAAGTGTTTGTTTGGGCTTTTCTGAGAAAGTCTCTGGTTATTCCTTCCCTAACGTGGCAGCGCCTTCTTCACTTCCGAGGTGTGCATGTAAGAACTGTAGGAAGCCGAAGCTTCGCCTTCCAGTGGGCACTTGAGTTAGTGTGCGGTTTCTGTTTGAGCATGGGGTCTGGGCTTGACTGCAGCGCCCTCCACCCTTCGAGCTCTGCAGTTTGGTGCAGATCCGCTGCTGTGGGCAGAGGCGTGAGTGATCCTGTGGTAAACAGTGCTGTGCTGCTGTGTTCTGAACAGTCATCCTCCGTGTTCTTACTCATTGTGAAAGTTGTTGTGAACCATGTGTATGTATATACATATATATATGACATGTACCGAGGGCTCATTTACAGCAAAGGGCTCACACTGCTCTCGGTATTCTCTAAAAGGCTGTGTCTCCTCCTGCTTGCCTCTGTTGAGGAGCTGCTTTCCCTTCGTCACTAATACTCGGTGCCGTTTCCCTAAGTGCTTCCGTACCACGCGCTTGTATGCAGCTTAGTTAAATAGCTCGTGTAGGTGATGTACGGGAGAGAATTTCAGGTAGTTAGATAGGTCACCCGTGTGCCTGACTGATGGTTACATCTTTTGCACTTTGCCCTTAACAAGGACCAGGATAATTGTTGGCGGCCCAGATTCAAGTTGACTTTTCAGGTTCTCTCAGCAGCTGTGTGTACTGTCAGAAAGTGCTCGTGAAAGCGAAGTTAGCTCGCTGAGCATCTTCTCACGGGTAACTCCACAGTACCTAGGATGCTCAAGGCCTAGGACCTGTGTGTAGCTCCACTGCCTGCCCTTTGCCATGACAAGTGAGTTCACGGTATGTGACTCCCTCCCACTAGTGCTGGCCACATGTGTGTCTTAGACTCTCGCTAGATTATTGGCGTCATCGTCACAGCACTGCAGAGTCCTGTGACCTTGGCATGGTACACTTTTGATATTAATTTATTAGAAATAGGATTTTTGCTTTGTGCTGATTTAGCGTTCTGCACCCCCTTCCCCCAGTACTCAAGTGATTGTTTTGTTTTGGGGTCTACGTATTATTCAAATCGTTTTGATGTTAATCTGGAAGTTTAACTCTATAGTATTTGGGTTATTGGGAATTGTTAAAGCTTTTCAAACAATGGGAAATACTCACTTTTTTCCAGTATACCAAGTAGTATGTATTGCTGAATTGTTAACTGTTTTTTATGACAATTTATAAATTCCTCAAAAGATAAAACCTCTTCCATTTCTTGTGTCTGTGGTAGAGAAGAGACTGGAGCTTTTAGATGGTGATTTCATCTGGCCATTACTCTTGCCCGAGTTACTGATTTCTTTTGCTGCAGATTTTTTAACTTTTAAGTATGTATGTGTTGACCTCAGGACTGAAATTACAGATGGTTTTGAGCCACCATGTGGGTACTGGGAAGGGAGCGTGAGTCCTCTGGGAGAGTAGCCAATGCTCTGAATCACTAAGTCATCTCTCCAGCCCTACCCTCGCAGACTCTTGCTGCTGTGGTGACCATAGGCAAGTCTTGTTTGCTAGGAATGCTGAGTCATGTGCACAGTGCTTTCTTGTTGTGAAGAGACAGGTCATCTTCATTGCTTTGAAGTTCTCACGTTACTGTAAACCTGGACTCAGCTTTATGCTGTTATTTTGGCCTATTCTGAACACTTGGTAAATAGCACATACTTCATAAGGAATTTGGGATCTTCAGAAAATTGCTTCCTATTTAATATCACTTGATGTAATTGCAGAGGTTCTGCTTACTAAACGACCTTTCTCCTATTTCAGGTGTTCTCCTGTATCTTGTCTTAGTTTCTAGACACATGTAAATGCATGGTGACACAGACTTCCCACCTCAGCTCATAAGCCAGGGAATCATGTTATGGTATTTCAAGGCCACTGTTCTTACAAAGTTGTTGGTGTTCCGGATAATAAAACTGATTGATCCATCTCATTCATAGTTCTTTCCAAGTAGCTGAAATGCCTTACCCAGGTCATGTATCATTCATACAAGAATTGGAGTAAAGTCTCCTAGGTCATTGATGCCTTTTTCTGTTTATTAGTCTTGTTTCTATGAAAGGTTTATGAGACAGACATTGTTTGTTGCAGATTCTCCAATCTTTGTTTCATTTGCAATTTAGTTTTAAAGCTCGTCTGTTTTTCACATGTTTTCACAGTTTAGAACACATCCATTTTAAAGCTAAGCTGTTTTGGAATATGCTAAGTGTGTGACATATAAAGAATGGCTAGTAACAGGAAGGGTATAGCTTTGAAGGACAGTATAAAACACTAGGGCATTTTTATGTGTTTAAGTCATTGTCAGCGAGCTCCTGAAAGCATCAGTATAATGACTTTGCTAAAAATGAGCTATAAATACCATCAGAAGAGGCTGGGAAACCAGTTAGGAAGGTGTAGAGACAGGTGCAGATAAGATGTGACTTCTAACCTAGGTGACAGAGTGGGAAGTATAGCAACAAAGGCGTTGTTGAAGTAGAGGCACACACTCATTCAATAAATATCTCAGTGCCTACTGCGTCATGGGATAGCTTGGGATTTACCAGTGAGTAAAAGAATAATGTCTGCCTTCCTCCACGCTTGCATTCTGGGGAAGGGGGTGCTAATGATAAACAGTAAGACACGAGGAAAGTTATTTAGTGTGTTGGGTGATCGGAGTGAGTGAGGGTGGCCAGAGGTTTCAAGGAGGACTTAGATCGTTGGCCACATTCTAGTTGGAGGACACAGGGCGGCTCCTGACTTTCCGGACATGCAGGGCTCCTGTGCATGTGAGATAGACAGGGAGACTGGAGGTGGCAGGAGACGGTAAAGGCAGGTGTGGCCATGAGTTTACTGACCGGAACTAAGTTGATGTGGGAGACTGTGTGTTCATGTCGTCCTAGTACCCGCTGAGTTTTGAGGAAGGGGCAGAAAAAAACTAACTTCCTTAATTTTCAATTTGCATGCCTTTTCTCTTGCTGCCAGCTTAAACTTACTTGAAATAGAAACATGAATTTCTGGGTCATTTTATGATATTAATCTTTATACTCCTTTTTTTAAACAGGAGTGTGTTGCTGCTGCTCCGCTCTGCGTCCTCGCTATAAACGCCTGGTGGACAACATATTCCCCGAAGATCCAAAAGTAATTTATCTCCATCTACTGGTCCTTCTCTTTGCTGACCCATTCTGCCCCCTGCTGACCTCCCTAAGGTTTTCCTCCTTTCATTTCTCTTTTTTCCCCGTGTATCATCATGTGAGCTACTGTACTTTCCTTTTTAGCTTTCCCATGACCCTTGCTCGCTTATCTTTGTCAGATGCTAGGTACAAATCTAAAATGGTAGATGCACGGTGTCCTTTTTCATTTAGAGAGTTTGGTAGCACTCACCGAACACTGGATCCTGTGCCGTACGTATCCTGTATGCCCAGGATGCAGTTGTGAGCAGGGAATGGCTTCTGCAGTCCGTGAGCGTGTGGACAGAGTATCAGCAGTTCTAATGCCCTGGAGGAGTGTGGTAAAGAAAGAAACTAGGGATGCTGCTTGAGTAATCAGAGCCAATTTGGGATTAGCAGAAAGACAAAGGAAATGAAATCTGACCTAGATCCAAAGAGCAATTAGGAATAGAATAGAATTGAGAGAGTATTGTAGAAAGAAACTGTTGGCCTTTTTCTTAAGTAGTGTTTATCCAGGTATACTGGCTAGCTTTATGTCACCCTGACAGAAGCTAGAGTCATCCGGAAAGAGGGAATCTCAATTAAGAAACCCCCCACCAGATTGGCTGTAAGATGTGCTATTTGCGGCATCTTCTGGACTGATGTGGGAGCCCAGCTTACTGCTGACACTGTACCGCTAGGCTGATGGTCCTGGATGTGTAAGAAGGCGCACTGGGCAAGCCACGCGGAGCAAGCTAGTATACACAGCTCTCCTCCATGACTCCAGATCCCTACTGCTTCTAGGGTCCTGCCTCGAGTTCCTGCCCTGATGTCCCAGGATGATGGACCACAAGCTATAACACACCCTTTCCCTGCTAACTTGCTTTTGGTCATAGCATATTGTCACAAAAACAAGTCCTGACTGAGACACTAGATATGGTGGAGTTTGGGGTCAGCCTGGGCTACATAATGAACCCTGCCTCAAAAACCAAAAATAACACTCCCGCAATTGCTTTTTTTTTCCTTTCTTAAATAAATCAATTGAAATGTTTAGGCTGACTGCTTTCTGGGTTTGTTGAACATTGCTTAGGTTTTCCAAGGCTCCTTAGGTTTCTGATAAATGAACATAAAATGTTATGCAAATTGATTTCCAGAATATTGTTTAATGTTAACTGTTTTTTGGTTATGTTAACATTAATTTAAGGTTGATACGTCCTACTTTTGATTAAAACTTATTTAAGTGGTCATCTGTATATAGAAAGCTATCCATAAATACTATTGGCTATCAGCTATCATTTGTGGGATATAAAAAAATCTGGATCATTTGACATATAAAAAACCCCTGTAAAATATGAAGTTTGCTTTTAAGGAGTTTGATTGACTTGCATCAAGCATATTAAATATTAGTCATGATATATAAATTAGTAAATAAAATGCAGGTGGTAATGGTTTTGCCTTTAATGCAAGAAAGCATCGCAGGGTGTTGGCATTCTCTGGGAAGCATTGTGGAGGAAGTAAGTTGTTCTAAGCATTAAAGGCCCTTATTTAGAGAAAGGTGTCTTTCTTACAAGTAAGGTAAGAGAAAAATGCATGGGAACTTAGATGTGTTCAAGGTGAAGACAGATTGATCAATTAGACTATCCAAATGAAAGCTCATATTGCCTAGCTAAAAGGTACAGTGGGAAGTTAAATTGATGGCCACACATAGATTGCCATATTCCTGAGAAGTATGGGATACATAGTTACTAAAGTCCAGGTGGAGGACAGAGTGTGAAGAAATGGGAAAACAGCCCAAGGTGTCTAAACCACTTTCTTTAACTTGTATTAAGTGCTGAGCTTTGAACCCTAGTAATAGGTCTGAGGACTGGTTCAAGGTTCAGAAACCTTGTGTTTAAGTAGCAGTCATCTGTAAAATAGATTTTTAAATCACTTTCCATGAACCCTACATACATGTGGTAAATACAGCTCAGTTGTCATGTTTGTTATTTTTTTGAGCACAAGATTCTTGCAATGCGTTGGATGATTCAGACAGTAGGTGCTTAGATGCAGAAGTGTATGTGCCCCAGTCCCTGCCTTTAAAGAGTTGACGGAGACAAGTAAATGGTTTCCTGTAATTATCACCTGCCATTTCAAGGAAGCAATTCGTAGGACCTGTGTCAGTTCTCAAGAGCTCTTTCTTAACAAATGCAGTTCTTTGTCGAGTATGGCTTATGTGGTGTCTGTCATAGTGCCGGGCATGGAGTTGGAATTCAGTATTTGTTTAATGAATGTGACGACCCAATGCTAAAGTGTAACAGTGAAGATAAGCACCGTGAGCTAAAAGATGTTCCTCGCACTAGAAACATCCCAGATCATCCCAGAGAGCCAGTGGAGGGTGGGTTGGAGAAGGCATGGGAAGGGTGTTCAGAGGAAGCTGAGAGCTTGAGGAAAGTACCTCTACTGCTAGGCCATAAGCTGAGCGAAAGAAGGCATGACCAGCAGAATTGCAATGTACCTGCAGAGTAGAGGTTTTAGCAAAACAGAGACAAAATATGCTTGTGTGGCTACATCAGGCTGTCAGGTGGGCAGGTGAAAGTGAGAACACCGACATACAGGGTTAGTAATTGTGGATCTCACCGTCCCACACATCTCTCCATCTCCCTTCTCACCCATCCCATAGACATGAGCAGTGTAGTTACTTAGACCGCACCTAGCCCAGACATTGAAGGTGATGTTGACTCTTTCATTAAGATAGGAAGGATCATTGGGTTGAGTAGGGTGGTGGCCTCTTTTAACCCCAGCACTCAAAGGCAGAGGCAGGCAGATCTCAGGGAGTTCAAGGCCAGCCTGGTCTAGGTAGTGTGTAACAAAACACCCTGGGCTACACAGAGAGACCCTGCCTCAAAACACAAGAGAACTGGAATCATCTGTAGAAAATAAAAGTGACCTACGTTAGGCCACATTATGGGTGTGTTATCAATGTAACCATCTGTAGAAGGTAAAGGTAACCTATGTTAGCCCACATCAGGGGTGTACTGCTGACACAAACACTGTTCTGAATGTTTTAATGGATTAATTACAACAGATTTTTATGATGCCAGCAAATTCTGAATAATTAAAAAAGCCATATGTAGGAGTTGGGATTTAGCCACTAGACAAGCTTTGGGTTCAATCAGTATGGCAGTTTCTCAGGAATTTTTTTTAGTAAAACATATTTCATTGCTACACACTGTTAGCTACTAATCTATAAATGAAAGTTCTAGAGATAGTTATTGCTTGTGAAGGTCCTTTAAATGCTTTGCCTTAGTGGGATATTTCTTTTAACTTTTAAAGTGTCCTGAGCATGTACAACTTTTAATATTAGCACGAAAGAGTTTATACCTAAAAGTTTTAGCATAAATGTGGATTAATTTAGTCCTCAAGGATGAGATGTAACTCAGACAACACTTTGGATGAATAAATGAATTGGAAAGGGATGAGATGTAAGTCAGGCAACACTGAATGAATAAATGAACTAGAAAGTAACGGATTGTGTATTTGTCATCATAAACTTCAGGATGGCCTTGTTAAAGCTGATATGGAGAAGTTGACCTTTTATGCCGTGTCTGCACCGGAGAAGCTCGATCGGATAGGAGCCTACCTGGCAGAAAGGCTGAGCAGGGATGTCGTCAGGCATCGTTCCGGGTAAGAACATACGTGCTGCTCATAATCTTCTGCCTTTGTAAAGATATTTCTAGGCGAAGTTGTCTTGTAAATTTATGTGCCAAGTAGTCAGGCCAAAACAATATACAGAGGATAAAACCTTAGAAGAATATGCGGAGCAAAGTGTGAGACCCCTATAGTTGCTTTTCCTGTGTCTCAGGTGGTGTGGGAACTGTGGTATGAACCGTTGCCACTAGTTTTATCATCAGTTCGTTTTGTTAACTTCTAATGGAAAATAGTTCTAAAGGCGTGGTACTGTGTTTAAAAATCTGTGTCTAAATTCAAAACAAGCTAAGATCCTGCTACCAGGTGGTTTTTGCCCCAGCTTCTGTCTTACTTTTAGAGGAGTGAGCGTGAGTCTTGTCAGGCGTAGTGTGTACCAGTGTCTGTTGATAAAGGAATCCTGTCTTCACCATTCTGTACTTGAAAAGCTACAGCTTTGCAGTTTGCATTTCTGTTGTGACATTGTATCGCCCTAGTTTCTGCGAGTACTCTGTTCTCCAAGCCATACATTGGCTTGTTGTATCTCTGCTCTATTGCCTCTTAGGACATATAGAACATGTCGGTGGTTTGTACAGGTAGGTTGATGGTTGATCATTAAAGGTTAACTAAAATGGACTCTAAATTGCATTATATGAAATCTTTTAAGCCTCTTGATTTATAAAGTGCATTTTATGGAGATATTCCCTTACATTGCTCTGTTGTTGCTGGCACTATTTTATCTATGAATATGATTTATAAATATTTTATTTACTAATATAAAGAAAGTATGTTGGAGACAGACATGAATTTTAGTAACAATTTAGAACATATACAAATAAATACGGTTAAAAACATAGAAGTATTCATGGTGCTCCAGGCAGATTACACAGTAGCTCTCGGGTTTCCATGAAGAAATAGAGTAGTGCAGTCTAGCTTTAGTGGATTTCCTCTTGAGGACTTGCATATCTAAACCTAGTTTTTACTTAGTTTACATTGCCTTTCTATGTTCCGTGCATCTAAATAAGCTAATTATTCCAGTGAAAAGCACTCAGAGCAATTAAGAGTGCTGGAAATGCTTTGACATTGTTTTCCCTTTAATTTAGGTATGTTCTAATTGCTATGGAGGCGTTGGACCAGCTTCTTATGGCCTGCCATTCTCAAAGCATCAAGCCGTTTGTAGAAAGCTTCCTTCATATGGTAGCAAAGCTCCTGGAATCAGGGGAACCAAAGCTTCAAGTTCTTGGAACAAATTCTGTAAGCAGAGCTATTATTTATTTTCCAACTAAGTTTAATCAGTATATCTAGAATTAATCTCTTCTTAGGATGCTTCTGTCTGATAGAAAGCAGTTTCCCAGTCAGGGCATTTGAACAACAGACGACCCTGTTTATTGAGCTGGTGATATTAACCTATCATTCTGGAAACACCTGCTTCTAAATGAGTCTATTCTTGTCAGTTTTATTTGCTCGGACTTGCCTGTTACAGTGCTAATTTTGCACACTATTGTTTTATTTTACTGCTTTCCAAAAGCAAAAGCTTTATTGAGCTGTATATGATTTACCACTAACGGTCACACAGTTTTCGTATGACTCAACGATTACCCTGTTTAGCATATATCACCAGAGTGGAAAACCTATGTCTGTGCATAGACTTGTAAACATGAAAAGGTCACGGTGTCCATAGTTACATGAGTAGATAAGTTAGAATGCAGTGTGCCGGTTCATTGTAGTTTTATCGTTTTCTGGTTTCCACTCAAGCTTCTTCACATTATAGGCTTTCTGCGTGTGTCTGGATTAATGTCTATCCAAATCTTTATTTTTTACAACTGGATTGCTTTTAAAAATCCTCATGTACCCTTGATTCAGTGTTCTGTCAGATACATGTAACTTGCAGTGTTGTCTTCTAGTTCTGTGGTTTGTTTTCTACTTCAATGATGACTTGCTTTCAGTCACTGAAGTGTTTAATTTTGATGCAGCCTGCTTCTTTTTTCCTTTTCTTTTCTTTTGGTGCTTTTAGCATGCTTTATAAGAAACCGTTGCCAAATCCAGGGTCAAGGATTTACCCCTTTTATAGTTCAGTTCTGTTATCTACTTCGAGTTATTTTATATCCGATTGCATGAGTTAAGCGTTCTCTATTGTCCATATATCCCATTATTATTGGTTGGACATACTCTTTTGCCCCTAGTCCTTGGCTGTGAAGCCAGCGTTTGTGTTCCCCTCCTTAGCCTACTTCTGAATTGTTTCTACTGACTACGTTATTTAAGAGCATAGTTTTTACATACAAGATGGAAGATAGCACTCTGTGACAGTGAAGCTGAAAGAGGGGACTTCTGGTCTTCCATTTCTGCTTTCATTTTATATTTTCCGTCTGTGTGGGGACACTTAAGTTATATAGCCTATGTGAATACTTTGTGTTCCCATCCATAGTTTACTAAAAACTACCAGAATCACTTGATCTGTCATTGTTTAGACGTTGTCTTAGTTACTGTTCTGTTAATGTGGAGAGACAGCATGGCTAAGGCAACTTAGAGGAGAGAGCATTTAATTGGGGGCGTTCTGAGTTTTATAGGGCTAGTCTGTGACCATCATGGCAGGAAGCTGGCAGGCGTGGCCATGGAGCAGTCCCTGAGACTTTACGTCCTGATCACAGGCAGCAGGCAAAGAGAGAGACTGACAGACCTGGCCTGGGCTTTGAAACCTCAAAGTCCACCTGGAGTTACATACCTCCTCCAACAAGGCCACAGCACCTCATCTTTCCCTAAGAGTTCTAGCCAGGGAGCAAGTGTTCAGACGTGAGCATCTGTGGGGCCATTCTCATCTAAACCACTACAGGCGTAATTTCAGATACAAGAGCTAATGTGGATCACGACTCCCATTGTGCATCTGAGTCCAGCTGCCCTGGTCTGTGTCACGTGTGCACTTGTAGCCTTGTAGTTTAGGCAACTTAGCTAACCCGTGTCTCAGTTTCTCACCTATGAAATGAGAAATGATCCAGTCTGATGAGGTCTCTGTGTGTGAAGCTCCCAGAGCATGATACACATTACAAAAGCTAGAGTGTGTAATAGAATAAATTCACTCAGAACCCCTGTCATGATTTTGTCCTTTTATCTCAGGGACAAAGAGTGGATACTTCCAGATGCAGCTAGGTTAGGTTAGTTTCAGGTATGACAGCGCCTAGAAGTTTCTCCTATTGCCTTTACAATTGGATGAGGAAGTTTACGAGAATGGTTTAATAGCTGTGTGGAGGGGATAGTGTGAATTTCCAGAAGTTTCTGTGCTTGTAGCCAGCAATGCCATTAGTATTGCTTTAATGAGTCATTGCACAAAAGACAAAAAAATCCGCATAACTTATCTTTAGTGACTATATTAAATCACATCCTGAAAGCCTAATTTTAATTTTTCAGTGGTGCTGATAGATGTTGATTTACTCTGTTCAATATTTATTGATGGTATTTGCATATTTTATTCTAATTTGTGACATTTACCTCTTTATGATGATGATGATCCAGTATGACAATAATGGACAAAATTTGCTTAGGTTGTCCTTTGTGTCAGAAATTTATGGTAGGAAAAAAAGGCGTGAAGTTGGGAGAAGGTGTAGGGGATTAGGGATAAATCTGGGATGAGTGGATGGTGAATATGATTAAAATATATTGAATTCATATAAAATTCTCAAAGAGTTAATAAAATATATCAAACACTTTACATTTAAAAAAGAAATTGTAACAGACACTTATTCTTACTCCTTTTTTGTTGTAAATAACTTCAAAAATAAGTATACCTATTTCATTATGCTCATATATACATTGCTTCAAAAAATGTTTAAGATATTATAAAATAATTATACTTAGATACACTTTAAGCCTTCCTAATCAGAAGTCAGAAATGCTCCAAAGGCCACAATGGCTAGAGCTCTGTGATAGAATTTTCCGATTAAGGATACTTCATAACAAAGCTGAACAAATAACCTGTGCATTCAGTGCAAATATGAGATCTGAAACACTTTGGGTTCCAAAGCTGGATAAGGGAACGTGTGTGATCAGGCCTGGAGGCGTGGGCTAGTGGGTAAGAGCCCACATAATGGTCTGGTTCAGTCTCATGCTTGCCTGTGAGCCCAGCACCGCACAGGGCTGTGACAAGGCTCTTTCCCTGTGACTTGCTGGGCTGCCGGCCTAGCTCCAGACACCTTACATCTGTTTTCTACTTTAAACTCTGTTTTCCATTTTAGTCTTTTGTTTATTATTGTGTGGCGTTTGTATGTGTGTGTGTGTGTGTGTGGTATGTGAATGTGTGTAGGAGTTTCCACACCAGTGTATGTATATGTAGAGGACAGAGGCAGATCTAAGTGTCTTTCTCTGTTTTTCTCCACCTCACTGAAGAAGTTAGCACAAGAGAACTTCTGGTTTGCAGAGCTGGGACAGGGAAGGCTGCTCTCGAGTGGCCTCACATTTTATAGTCAGCTCTTTATACTCCAGGGCAGTAGAAGCTACCCACCTTTGCATTTCTAACAGTCAACAAATAACAAAACCATGAAGGTTTACCTCCTGGAACTTCTCCCTTATATTTAAGGAAGGTCTGAGTGTCCGTTTTTGTTTTGTTTCTACCTCTTTTTTTTCCTATTTTAAAAGCGATCTGTTCATTATAGCAATTTGAAAATGCTAAACAAAGTGTAACAGTAAATTTCTCAGTATATTAACTAGGTTGCAAGATGCTTTATTTAGAAAGCTGTGTTACCCTTTTCCTAAAAGTCCATTATTACCAATTCCTTCTGTACATATGCAGTATGTGGTGTCCGTGTATCCATTGCTTATTTGGGTGTTGCTTGTTAGTGTAACAGATAAGGAGGTAAATGCGTTTCCTCGCTTCTAAAAGGTGACATCTATTGTTTGTATTGTTGTTTTTGTTTTTTAGTTTGTCAAATTTGCCAATATTGAAGAAGATACACCATCCTATCATAGACGTTATGACTTCTTTGTGTCTCGATTCAGTGCCATGTGTCATTCCTGTCACAGTGACCCAGAAATACGGACTGAGTATGTACTGCTTTCCTGCATGACTTTCCTTAAGTGATCTGTACTGGAGTTATTAGGTATTGTACTTCTTCCACACGGGTAATGGTTATCAAAGGGCAAGAGATTCTCACAGACAGATTCCCTTGTTGTTAAAGCATGGAGCACTCAGCTCCAGTTGTGAGATGAGAGTGGTCGGAATTCACAACCCTTACTTTCCCGAGCACCCCCACCCTTCCCGTCCCCGTCTCTGCTGCCCTGTCATTGCCCCTGCTTCCTCTAGCTCCCTCTAGCTCAGCACGTGTGTGGTGTGCGGTGCTGCGTCTCCGTCTCCTTGCTGTCTCCTGAGCACTCTCGGCAAGCTACTCATCAGGGCGTTTGAAAAGATGGCCTTTCCGTCTAGGGCGGTTCCCAGGGACTCCCGACTCACTGCAGGGTTTTCGTCACTGTACTCAAGCTTTTTCCCATCACTCTGGAGCTTGCTGTGTAGACAGCTAGCCGCAGGCAGACTCAGAGATCCTGTCTCTGCCTCCTGAGTGCTGGGGTTAAAGCAGTGCCCCACCATACCTAGCCTTGAGCTCCAATCTTACTAGAGGGCGGGGCAGGAGGGCAAAGGCTTTATTCTGAGGACTGCTGTGTCGCTGACTGGTGTCCTGCTCGAAGTAGGTTCTCAATATGTACTTGTACCTTTTGAATGATTGTTACTGAATCTGTGTCACTCTATGGTTGTCCAAATGCTGAACCGCACGTTTTAAGTCATTTTTTTATAATTTCAACTGGTAAAAATTTGGACTGTGATCTGAAATAATTTATAGGTTGTGTCCTCATAGAAACAAAGGGCTTTTCATTTAAGTTAGTCAAAATGATGTTGATAAATGATAGCAGTTTGAGCGTTGCTGGTGACCTGAGTCAGGGTCCTGTGGGAAGCTGGTGATGGAGAATTGTCATATCTCTCTGAAGCAGGCAGGGTACAGAACTGTAGCCAGGAGTTTGCGGGCCCCAGCTGGTGCACCCAGCTAAAGCAAGTGCGGGAGCTCTCTGTCCTTAAAGAAGGCAGGCTGAGGAGAGGTTTAACAGTTGGTTCTTCAGATGTGATTTGCCTAAGTCTGTAATTCTACCTCAGTATAATCCAGCGCATTTGGAGCCTCCTGTGATGACAGTGTGATGCCTTACTTAGAAGGATACTGTAATTGCCATATACCTTCCTGGCCATCCTAGCGCTACTGACATCTTATTTCCTAAGAGACATTCTAAAATGAGAGATTTGAGGATTTTTAATGATAATGTAAGAAAATGTGTTTGAGTAATTCAAATATGAGATTACCTTATTTTTAGGTATTTATTGCCCTCTAGTGGCAAACCTTCTTTCTTCAGATTTTCTATTTTTATTATCAGTATAAAAATATGTACATAAGGATGTTATTAAGTTAATTTTAAAACTTTATATATGTGTACTGTATTTATATAATTCCCCCTTCCTGTCCTCCCTCCAACCTTTCCTATGCTCCCTCAACTATATTGCCTCTCTTTCTTATCTTTTCTTCATTTCCCTTTTTGCTTTTTGAGACTGAGTTTCTCTGTGTAGCTTAATAGCCTGCCCTGGAACTTGCTCTGTAGACCAGGCTGGCCTCGAACTCACAGTTCACAGAGATCCTCCTGCCTCTCTGTGTCTCCCAAGTGCTGGCATTAAAGGTATGCACCAGCACTGCCCAGCAAGACCTGTTTCCCCTTTTTCTTTAATTATGAGAGAGGAGAAAGAGAGAGAGAGAGGAGTGTGTGTGTGTGTGTGTGTGTGTGTGTGTGTGTGTGTATGCGTGTGCGTGTGTGTGTGTGTGTGTGTGTGGTATCTGAAGTTCTCCATTGCCCACATTTCATTTGAATCACTGTGAAGCAAATGAGTAAATTAACATGCTTAAAGGTAAAAGTTGCACATTTTTCCCGCTGTCACTTGAATAAATGTCTGTTTAGTTTTCTTCAAATTATTTATATTTCCTTTCAGGTTCCAACTTAGATTCTTATTTTTTATCCCTTTAGATTTTAGTAAAACCCAGTCATACAGAACTTTCAGACTTTGGCAGAAGGAGCTGAGTCTTGAGCTGTTATCTTTTCCCCTTCTTGAGTCACCCAACTTTAATTTCTTTCTCAAAAAAAATACAATAAAAAAATCCCTAAAACCAAGAAAACAAAATAAAGTAATACCAAAACAAAAACAACAGACCACCAAACTAACCGAATCCAAACACACACACACACAAAAAAAAAACTGTGGAGTCTTTTAAGTGTCAGTGAACTCCTCCTGGGCATGAGACCTGTCCTAGAGAGGTTGATATACTCAGTGTTACTCTATTGGAAAAAACTGATTTTCTCTCTCCCTGCAGGTGTAAGTGACAGTGTTAACCTTTACCATAGTGGCTAAGTTTTCATTCATCATCCATTTATTCATTTTTAAAAAATAGAGGTAAATCACATACATTCAGATATATATATATTAAAACAAAAACTGTCATGTTGAAGTTGGACAAGACAAACCAACACAAGGAAAGGAGCCCAAGAGAAGGCACAAGAAGCAGAGACCTCTTACTCACGCACTTAGTCCCATGGGCAGTGGACGCTGTGGTGCGCAGGCATAGGACCTGGTGGGCTGTCTTACTCACGCACTTAGTCCCATGGGCAGTGGACGCTGTCGTGCGCAGGCGGAGGACCTGGAGCGCTGTCTTACTCCCGTCTCTCCAGGGTCCCATGGGCAGTGGACGCTGTCATGCACAGGCAGAGGACCTGGAGCGCTGTCTTACTCCCGTCTCTCCAGGGTCCCGTCTGCTGCTCGCATGGCTTTGTGAAGTGTTGCTACTTCCTTGTCAACATGCTCCATTCTTTACACACTCATGCTTTCTGGAAGTCAGTGGTAGCTGAGCTGACAGGACTGCAGTTGGTGATCTTTTCAGGTGGTAAAAAGAAGGGAAAAGTTAGAGAGTAGAACAGAAGAGGCAATTTGAGCAGAAGAAATGCCTTGTAAGAGAAAGGGGCAAGCTAAGCTACTTGAGACTTTGTCCTTCAGCAGTTCATACAAATCTAGTCCCCTCCCTCCCGTCCCCTCCCCTCTCCTGCCTTCCCCCTCGCTCTGTAGACCAGGCTGGTCTTGAACTCACAGAGATGGTCTGCCTCTGCCTCTCGAGTGCTGGGGTTAAAGGCATGTACTGTCACAGCCCAGCTCACTTCTCTTTCTTTTTCCCAAGAAGAGTAAGGAAAGACTGTGAGGAAATTGGGGCTTATGAATTGTGATGGGCAACACTGCGAAACTCCAGGTCTTGTGTTCACGTCTGTGGACACAACTTTTAAATGAAGAAGCTTGCCTTTCTGAGGACTGAGGGGTACTCTCCAGGAGCAGTGGCAGAGCATGCCGTAGAACAGTACAGTGATCTCCTCACTCAGCTCTGGGGCCTCACAGTGGCTTATTAATTACCATCGTGTTAGAAGAAGCTACACTTCTGATTGCCCTTTTGTTAGCAATTAATGTACTAGATAGCTCTGTAGATTTTAGCCTTTTAAATGTCATTGATTTGTAGAGATAATATGCTTAAAGCCTCTTGAATGTATCTTGCGGTGTCCACTTTAGATTTTTGAGATTTTAGTCTCTTACATATGATGCTGCTTTAAAACGTTTTATGGTTGAGAGAGCAATATCAACACATACTCTAATGTAGACTAACAGACTTGTTTAAACATCTGTTTTCATGGGTCTTTTTCCCCCCATCCTTATAGGATCCGTATTGCTGGAATAAGAGGTATTCAAGGTGTGGTTCGCAAAACAGTTAATGATGAACTTCGGGCTACCATTTGGGAGCCACAACACATGGATAAGATTGTTCCCTCCCTCCTGTTTAACATGCAGAAGATAGAAGAAGTTGACAGGTATTGTATACAGACAGAAAGTTGGGATGGAGAGATGGCTCAGCGGTTAAGCGGGCATGCAGTGCTTGCAAAGCACCTGAGTTCTGTCCTAGCTCCCACTCTGGGCAGCTTACCGTGCCCATTGCTGCATCTACATTCATGTGCACGGACCCAAACGCACACAGACACTTCCATGTAATTAAAAATAAAGTCTTCAAAAAGATACTAAATGCTGTGTTACATGGTATATATGCTCATGTGCGTGTTACGGTAAGAATGTTTGGTTTCTACCGTGATGTAAGTGGCTGTCTCATAAAGTTAAGTGAGTTTAGACATATATGCCTCTGTAGAGATTTGTTAGTCTGTAGTGATCACACGAGAGTCGTTAGTCTTAGGTCCTGACTCGTGCACAGAGGTAATGATTCCCTATTAGAATGCATTTAAACACTGGACAGGTGAGTGGCTCACAAGGGACTTATGGCGAAGGCTGGTGACTGTTCAGTCCCTGGGAGGCGCACGCTGGAAGAGAAACTGACTCCCACAGTTGCCTTCTGACTTCACTCTGATGCTGTAGCATGTACACACACATGTGTGCAAGCCCACCACCTAAGTAAATAAATTTATTTCTTGGTTATTACCAGACATGAAAATTAATTTTAGTTAGTAGTGCTTAAATTTGTAGCCACGAGAAGCAGAAATTATAGCTGAACTTCTGTTGTTCCTCTCAAATCCAATATGCTTTTCTATAGGGAATTAAAACTAACCCAAGGGCTGGAGAGATGGCTCAGCCGTTTAAGGCTAGGCTCACAACCAAAACTAACCAAAATAAAATAATGACTGCTATTCGTTTTATTTTCCTTTGTATTGAAAATAGTTTTCATACAATATATTCTGATCACAATTTGTCCTTCCCTGTTTCCTCGTGGATCCTCCTCGCTTCCCCACTTACGACCCCATGCTGTGTTGAAAACAAACAGGCAAGCAAGCAAACCAGAATAAAGTAAAACAAGCAGAAAAAAGACAAGACAAAGAAAAATCATGAGAAACACACATACACAGACACAAACATGTGCACATACACCAAACCCATAAATACACAGACACAAACATGTGCACATACACAAAACCCATAAATACTCAGACACAAACATGTGCACATACACAAAACCCATAAATACTCAGACACAAACATGTGCACATACACAAAACCCATAAATACTCAGACACAAACATGTGCACATACACAAAACCCATAAATACACAGACACAAACATGTGCACATACACCAAACCCATAAATACACAGACACAAACATGTGCACATACACAAAACCCATAAATACACAGACACAAACATGTGCACATACACCAAACCCATAAATACTCAGACACAAACATGTGCACATACACCAAACCCATAAATACTCAGCAGAAACATGTGCACATACACAAAACCCATAAATACACAGACACAAACATGTGCACATACACAAAACCCATAAATACACAGACACAAACATGTGCACATACACCAAACCCATAAATACACAGACACAAACATGTGCACATACACAAAACCCATAAATACACAGACACAAACATGTGCACATACACCAAACCCATAAATACACAGACACAAACGTGCACATACACCAAACCCATAAATACTCAGACACAAACATGTGCACATACACAAAACCCATAAATACACAGACACAAACGTGCACATACACCAAACCCATAAATACTCAGACACAAACATGTGCACATACACAAAACCCATAAATACACAGACACAAACATGTGCACATACACCAAACCCATAAATACACAGACACAAACATGTGCACATACACCAAACCCATAAATACACAGACACAAACATGTGCACATACACAAAACCCATAAATACTCAGCAGAAACATGTGCACATACACAAAACCCATAAATACTCAGCAGAAACATGTGCACATACACAAAACCCATAAATACACAGACACAAACATGTGCACATACACCAAACCCATAAATACTCAGCAGAAACATGTGCACATACACCAAACCCATAAATACTCAGACACAAACGTGCACATACACCAAACCCATAAATACACAGACACAAACATGTGCACATACACAAAACCCATAAATACACAGACACAAACATGTGCACATACACCAAACCCATAAATACTCAGACACAAACATGTGCACATACACCAAACCCATAAATACACAGACACAAACATGTGCACATACACCAAACCCATAAATACACAGACACAAACATGTGCACATACACAAAACCCATAAATACACAGACACAAACATGTGCACATACACAAAACCCATAAATACACAGACACAAACATGTGCACATACACCAAACCCATAAATACACAGACACAAACATGTGCACATACACCAAACCCATAAATACTCAGCAGAAACATGTGCACATACACAAAACCCATAAATACTCAGCAGAAACATGTGCACATACACCAAACCCATAAATACACAGACACAAACATGTGCACATACACAAAACCCATAAATACTCAGACACAAACATGTGCACATACACAAAACCCATAAATACACAGACACAAACATGTGCACATACACCAAACCCATAAATACTCAGACACAAACATGTGCACATACACAAAACCCATAAATACACAGACACAAACATGTGCACATACACCAAACCCATAAATACTCAGACACAAACATGTGCACATACACCAAACCCATAAATACTCAGACACAAACATGTGCACATACACAAAACCCATAAATACTCAGACACAAACATGTGCACATACACAAAACCCATAAATACACAGACACAAACATGTGCACATACACCAAACCCATAAATACTCAGACACAAACATGTGCACATACACAAAACCCATAAATACACAGACACAAACATGTGCACATACACAAAACCCATAAATACACAGACACAAACATGTGCACATACACCAAACCCATAAATACACAGACACAAACATGTGCACATACACAAAACCCATAAATACACAGACACAAACATGTGCACATACACAAAACCCATAAATACACAGACACAAACATGTGCACATACACCAAACCCATAAATACACAGACACAAACATGTGCACATACACCAAACCCATAAATACACAGACACAAACATGTGCACATACACCAAACCCATAAATACTCAGACACAAACATGTGCACATACACCAAACCCATAAATACTCAGCAGAAACATGTGCACATACACAAAACCCATAAATACACAGACACAAACATGTGCACATACACAAAACCCATAAATACACAGACACAAACATGTGCACATACACCAAACCCATAAATACACAGACACAAACATGTGCACATACACAAAACCCATAAATACACAGACACAAACATGTGCACATACACAAAACCCATAAATACTCAGACACAAACATGTGCACATACACAAAACCCATAAATACACAGACACAAACATGTGCACATACACCAAACCCATAAATACACAGACACAAACATGTGCACATACACAAAACCCATAAATACACAGACACAAACATGTGCACATACACCAAACCCATAAATACTCAGACACAAACATGTGCACATACACCAAACCCATAAATACTCAGCAGAAACATGTGCACATACACAAAACCCATAAATACACAGACACAAACATGTGCACATACACAAAACCCATAAATACACAGACACAAACATGTGCACATACACCAAACCCATAAATACACAGACACAAACATGTGCACATACACAAAACCCATAAATACACAGACACAAACATGTGCACATACACCAAACCCATAAATACACAGACACAAACGTGCACATACACCAAACCCATAAATACTCAGACACAAACATGTGCACATACACAAAACCCATAAATACACAGACACAAACGTGCACATACACCAAACCCATAAATACTCAGACACAAACATGTGCACATACACAAAACCCATAAATACACAGACACAAACATGTGCACATACACCAAACCCATAAATACACAGACACAAACATGTGCACATACACCAAACCCATAAATACACAGACACAAACATGTGCACATACACAAAACCCATAAATACTCAGCAGAAACATGTGCACATACACAAAACCCATAAATACTCAGCAGAAACATGTGCACATACACAAAACCCATAAATACACAGACACAAACATGTGCACATACACCAAACCCATAAATACTCAGCAGAAACATGTGCACATACACCAAACCCATAAATACACAGACACAAACGTGCACATACACCAAACCCATAAATACACAGACACAAACATGTGCACATACACAAAACCCATAAATACACAGACACAAACATGTGCACATACACCAAACCCATAAATACTCAGACACAAACATGTGCACATACACCAAACCCATAAATACACAGACACAAACATGTGCACATACACCAAACCCATAAATACACAGACACAAACATGTGCACATACACAAAACCCATAAATACACAGACACAAACATGTGCACATACACAAAACCCATAAATACACAGACACAAACATGTGCACATACACCAAACCCATAAATACACAGACACAAACATGTGCACATACACCAAACCCATAAATACTCAGCAGAAACATGTGCACATACACAAAACCCATAAATACTCAGCAGAAACATGTGCACATACACCAAACCCATAAATACACAGACACAAACATGTGCACATACACCAAACCCATAAATACTCAGACACAAACATGTGCACATACACCAAACCCATAAATACACAGACACAAACATGTGCACATACACCAAACCCATAAATACTCAGACACAAACATGTGCACATACACCAAACCCATAAATACTCAGCAGAAACATGTGCACATACACAAAACCCATAAATACACAGACACAAACATGTGCACATACACAAAACCCATAAATACACAGACACAAACATG